AATATTCTGAATTCTGTCCTCTAAACTGAAGGTGAGCATATAAAACACTTGATCTAGAAGAAGAGGAATGAATTCATAAGCTGAACCCCTGCCCAAAATTTTCTTATTTTTAAGACTGTCACATATCCCTCCTCAACATAAAGAGTGATGTTGCTAATCTTACTCAGGTTTACAATTAATCCTGGATTTCCTACAAATCATCCTTCTAAAGAGTTCAAGTTATGCCAGCTCAGACGAAAGAAATAAACATCTACTCCAGATACAACGGTTTATGGCATGCGTCTTTCTCAGACCTCTGAAGCCAAGCGTTTCAGCTGCCTACCTCTGCACTGATGCATGATTTGGATTCAGTTTTTGGTCTGTCCTTTCTCCTAAGCTACAGGTAACTGCTTGGAAGTCAAAGAACATACCGTGCCAGTACACATGAAATAACGTGAACAAACTGCCTCATGCCACAGGAAGAATTATAGAGACAATGAACTCTTGTGGTTCAGTGTCTACTAAGATCATCAGACACTTCCATGTCCCTCAGTGCTTTTGCCTCACTCCTTTTGTTATGTCATGCTCAAAATGACACTGAACTTTTCACACTTTTATGGGAAAAGAAGAAGCGAGCACAGACAAGCACAGGCTATGCACCAAAAGGCTCCTGGAAGAGATGTGAGGAAACACTAGGAATTTAGACACTACACTTGTTACCTTTGTCACTAGAGTAAGGTGTGTGGACATTGTTGCTTGGAACAGAGACATTTTGGTGCTGTGGCTGGTTCACTGTTTCTAAAAAGGAAACGAGGTTCTCGTGGTGGGACAGTTCTTCTGCCACAGGGAAGGAAACAATGTTCCAGTTCAGCTGAGTATCCCCTTCTGTCAGTGCCCGGAAAAGTGAAGGAATTGGTTCATGCAACTCCTCGACAGTGCTCTTGGATGTTGGAGGTGTGTCACTGTAATTGCGAGGATTGCACATACCTGCAAAGGAATCAAACAGTAAGTTACACAAAACTCCCTAAACTTACCTCCTTGAAACAGGCAGGAATATTTAGAAAATTAAAATTGCTTTTTTTTTTTTTTTCTTAAGCAGAAGAGAGCTCTTTCACATATATCCCGCTCTTAGCTCAATAACAGAAGTGCCACTGAATACAGCAGGACAAGCTTTCCATAATGGCAGGTTTCAGATCTCTGCAGACTTCCACAAAACACACAAACACACCTGTGACTTGTGAGATCCAAGTGCAAAGAAAAACCTCATCTAAACACCACTTTGCTGCCCTTTTATTCTAGCATTACAGTTTCAGTTTCAACGAAAGGTTTGCTTCCCCTGGGAAAAGAGACAAAGCACAATATAATCAATGCTAGCATAAATCTGGAATGAAAGCTTATGACTGAACAAAGATAGTATCTTGACAAGTCCTGAGGTACAATAAACTTTAGATCACAATTCAAGAATTTGATCTCATCTGCTGCAAAAAAAACTTTTTAGCTGTCTGCCAGAGATGCAAAGATCACTATTGGGGAGAGCAAGAGTCAGAATTACTTTACCTGTTTAGAGACAGCTGACATGAACCTCATTTTGCTACTTACTTGGAGGGGTCACTACAGGCAAAATGCTTATTTCCAGGTTACCTCTTTCTTATTTTTCAACATCTTTCATGGTATCTTTTTTGAAACCTTATAATCGTTTTTTCTCTTTGACACTTCCTACAAAATGTTTTTGTTTTTCATTAGCCATTTAAGCACTAACATTTATGACTAGCAATGAAACTAAAAGGTATCTTGATTTAATCTGAACGTTGAAACAACCAAGACTAAAAAGAAAAGTTGTATCTGCATAGGTCTTTAAACTCAGAAGCCATAAAACACTATTAGAAGTCACCTGGCAAGAGACAGACAAATCAATTTTCCTCATGCACATCTGGATATAATTTTGGGTAGTTTCACAGACACAGTTTTAGACAGCTACAGCTGCAGAGCATACCAATACTTGAAGTACCAAAGTGATACGGGACATAAATATTCAGTTTTACCTGCCCCACACAACCAGAGAAGCATCTCCTGCCCTGTGGATACATTAGGACTCCAGCTTCAGAAATCATGTTTAACTAGAGCCTTATACAAACCCATAATCTTTTCAATCTAAGTAGATGGATTTTCATAACAAACAAAACAGAGTGAAGTTCACCCATGGCGACTCACATGAGATCGGGCAAATCTTAAGTGAGTGGTTAGCACTATCAGCGCTTAATAATAGGAACAACACAAGATAGTCTGCTCCTATAGAAAAGGTATTAGGCAGAAAAAAAAAAAGCCTCTCCTCCAAACAACATCAGGTCACACTAAAAAATAATTCCACTTACACAAACTTCCTACCGAAACCAGTTATTTTCCTATTCCTCTCAACTAGCTTTGTTCTCCACAGGCATTCCAGCTTTAATAAAAAATTCCATCACTGCATTATCACCTTTAAGTAAGCACTTGGAATACTCACCATACAATTGTAATACAACATTCCCACCTAAAATTTAATTAGGACGATATCAAACCAGGTAAGAGTTTTGTACAAATACATCAAGAGACGTACACTCTAATTGATGTCATTCCATTAATGCTGTGAAATGGAAACTAGTGAGCTTTTCTAGACACCCCCTCCATCAGGTTGAATTCAGAAAATAAATTTCACTGGTAAGAAGGACACACAGGAAAAAAATAACATCAAAATTGTTTATCAAATGATTGCAGAATGTAGAGAGTTCATGTGCATATCAAACCAGTATGAAAATACTATCTTAAGATGGCACCAAGAAACCATTGTTCATAGTTTAATGGGTAACTACTCATTCCACAAAGATCCTTTCCTCTTACTGTTTTTAAGAGTATTTTTATTACAATAATTATAATTTTATAACAGAATACAGTAGCCTTGATTAAAGCAAAAATAAAAAAAAGCTTAACTGAAGGGCAGCAGGTAAGGAACAAACATGTCTACATTACCGCTTTGGAAGACAAAATTTGATAACCAGAATGTAAAATTTAACCATGCCATTACGCTACAGCTAGGTCTCCTGCAACTGAAAGAAACACAAATGTATTCAACTGTAACAAGCCATAAAATATTCCTTTCAATTTAAGTATTTTTCCTTCTTTTGTCTGCTCTCTTACCCATCTCTTGCTACATATTGTTACTGAAAATCCAAATTCCCTTCCAGCATCACAGTTCACACATGGAGATTTAAGCCAGCCCACAAAGTTGTACACAGTCCCATCTCTCTTGGATGAAAAGATGCAGAAATGAGCTATTGAAATGACAGAAGCAGACAAGCCTTTACACGAGGGACTAGAAGAGCTTAACCACAAAGCTTAGAAAAACATAGGAAAGAGGAACCTGTTGTTCTCCCTTCTCTAGGGCCTTTGTCCATGTCGGAGAAGGGAGAGAAGATCCATACAAAACACAGGACAACAACTGACCAGAAGTAAAATTAATGCTGGAGGGTAGGAGGTAATTCCTGACTTCAGAGCAGACATCACCTGACGGACAAGGCAACCTATTTGCTTTTACATTAGACGTGATCAGCTTATAAAGAGACTTAAATATCAGCTCAAGTATCAGCAAAGGACCGTTTCCAGGAAGCTGGGTACAGCATGCACTCCTGTTTCCTCATTTGAATAAGGCTACAGCAAGGATGACCCTACACTGAAGAGAAGAAGAACAGGACCATACCATAGAATCAACAAGGTCTGAGGCACCCGCAGAACCATCAGGAGATGTGTCAGTTTACTCAGGACTGGGAAACTGAACCTAAAAGCTTGTTAACTTCCCTGCTGGGTAACACCATGGGAAAGAGCAGCAGAACACTGAGTAATCTGCACATTTAGAAAAAAAACCTGTGTGTGGACTCATCTCTTTTTCTTCACAGTCCTAAAGTAGGCTCTTCCTCTCCCTAGCACAGCGTACTAAGCCTTCCTTTCTATAGCAGATAATGGTTGTTCTGAACTAGGGAAATAACCTACTATCCTATTCCCCACCCCTATGACTGAACATGACAACAGCACACTTTAGTATTACATTATAAAAATCAACAAGACATTAGAAGGGCAAAGGGGATGGGGAGAATAGGTATCTTTTTTTTCATTTTTCAAGGAGCCCACTAAAAGATTTCAGGTCAAATAGGAAAAAACAAACTCTAGGGTCTCTGTGTAAATGTATATCCTCCACAGGTGCAGGGGGTGAAAATACTTTATGCCATTGGGAAGAATCACACATGTGCAGGACCACGCCACTCTACTGCTTACTAAAATACAGTACAGCAAAGGTAAGCTAGCCAGAACCAAGCAAAAAACAGGATATCAGAAAGCATATTGACATCATGATGGACCAGAAGAAGCAATGGACTGCACTGAAAAGGAGCACTTTGAAGCTAATAGTCTCCATAAATTCAGAGAAGACCCAGCCAGCCAGAGAAGCTGAGAGTAGGTACAACACTTGAGACGCATCCCTCTTATGGAAGCCAGGTGGATTCTGAATGGCAGCAGAGGGAGACTTACAGCAACCACAGAAGGATGAAGCTTTCAATATATTTAAAACAAGAGAGGGATCTAGAATATGTCCTCCTTAAACAGGGGCAGCACTTGCAGAGATCTGGAAACTCTGAACACTGCCTGTTAGTAGTAATGCTGTTCTTGTTCAGATTATCATCTAATCCTGCGGTAAGAACTTCTATGCCTCTTTCTTACACTCCACAAATAGTGCTTTTTGCAAATAAAAGAAAACTAAAATATTGGGCAATGTACATTTACTACTAGTACCAAGGATTCACAAGGGAACTTAAACTTCAAATCGTCCCTGTGCAGTATCTGTCAACGCACTTTACAGCTAGAAACCTCCATACAGCATCCAACGTTATGAAGCAGGTGCTGTGTAGTTTCCTCAAGATGACAGTTCAAGAAAGAGTTTATGTTTTAGAGACAACGAGTCAGTTCCACTGACATTAACCAAGCAAAATCTGGACTGCTGCCACCCCTCACTCCATAGAGCACATAGAGCCTTCAAATGTTTGGTTCCCCACAGTAATTTATTCAGTAGCCACAGAAGGAGCTGTAAGATGTTTAAAGTACAGATTTTGTCCTGAAGTTTTACTTCTATTATAAGACTGTGAGCTCAGCATGTGGCAGGAGGAAGCAATTTAGGAAAAAACAACAAAAAACCTCAAAGAAATGCAAACTTACCAACACAGTCACAGCACTCATCCCAAAGTGTGCCCAGGCAGAGCATGCACTCCTTACAGCAGGAACAGTTCCCTTCCCCTGGGCGGCATTGACACAGCTCCTGCAAACAACAGAAACTCATTACACCGCAGCAATCCCAGATGTGAAATGCTAACATGGCAGAGCAATTCTTCCTCAAGCCGCAACTCAAATTACAGCATTAAAAAAGCTTAGTACGCTAATACACTGAGTAAACGGTAAAACAGTTCCAGCCAAAGAACCAATCTTAGTTTACAAAAGGATCTTTTGCAAGCTTTTTTTTTTTTTAAAGGTGACATTCTAAAGACAAATTTGAAGTCAGCATTTAAAAGAAAAAAAAAAATCCTACTCATGAGAAAGGTGTGTGCACTTCTACATATGCCTGAAATCTACAAGTTCTTTGAGTGTTTTTCCCAATCACAACAGGAAATTCAAAGAAGGATGTTTCTTTATATATAAATAGTGCACATACCTTATAATTTAGTTTAAAAAGGAAGTTACTATAAGCAGCATGCGCATACTCAAGATCTACCATCTACACGTCTACCATCACCCCTATTTGTGGATTCTAAAAGGACCTTACTTGATTAAGTCACCGCACCACAGGATTTTGTGCATCTCTGAATGCATGCTACACATTGTTCTCCATTTGCAATATTAGTGACCAGATTATTTTTCTTCCCCAGGTCCAGCTGATTAATTTTTGCTATTATGAAAACAACCCACTCCCTCCCTTCCCTCAAATCAACACCTTGGGATACTTCCAACACTTCTGGAGCCTCTAGAAAGTGAAATGGTATGCACATTAATTTTTCTTTAACTGTTATTAAGCTAGAAAAATGGAAAAGGCATGGAAGCAAGAAGGCAAACTTTTCTCTTCATGTTACCTAAGCCTTAAAGTACTGTTTCAGTAGTCCTGCTGGAGACATACACTTATGGACCTCAAAGCATGGAAATAGCCTAAACAGATGAAGGAAATCTAAAAATGAGGCGGTCTCCTTCCCTCTAGCTCAAACCTGTACTAGTAATTCCAGTTCATCTGAAAGACTGTGGCTACATGATAATATATGGGCTTGAATTACGCCGCACTGCAAAATGTGGACAGTCAAGAAGTCACATTTGGTTGCACTAAGAATTTGGTTTTGATGACGCCTGCCTAACTATCACGTTACGCACAACTGGTGAGAAATCAAAACCCTGTTCCTGGAAACATTGACCACGGGGTCCTTCCTACCCGCAGCTTTACTGGAAGAGCCATTGAGAAATCTCTGCTACACACCAGGCCAGGAGAAGGTGATGCCCATCCCTGCTCTTTGATCCCATTCTCCAGAGGCAGGAGAGGGACACACTGCAGCACGGTCAGGAGGAAGGAAGGGCAGAAGGATGGTTTGGTGTGAAATTCTCCTAACCTGGAGTCACCACCCCACCACCCAGGCTCCACATCAGCTAACCACAGCTGGATCAGGGACACCACTCCTTGCAAGCAGACACAAACATCATCTGCAAAGTCTTTCTGTAGTGCCTTGGCAAGAAGCTGAGTGGGCAAAATTCCACTTTTTAAAAATAATTATTTGCTTGCTGTTGTTAAGAAGCATCAGGTAAGGGAGAAAGGAGCCATCTTTTCTACCAAACATCAGGAGCACATTTGCTAGGCAAGGCAAGGCACAGAGATGCCCCTGGTCACGCACAACCGCTGTTCTCTTTTCTGCAACACTGGCAACTGCAAGTGTCCACAGCCAGGTGAGTTACACAGGGATCAGCCCTCCCTCGCACCAGCTCTCGCAGGCCCACAGAAGACCAAAGACTGCACTTCACAGGGTGATGCCAGAGCAAGGTCCAGCTGGGGACAAGGTTTAAGAATACAGCGAAAGAAGGTTCAGGGCTCCAAGTTCTGGACTAAAACTGAACCCCCAAACCTGCTGCAGTCACGCTGCTATGTATTAATGCAGTATAAATGCATGGATCCCTTATTTTTCCACTCACTTCATCTCAGATCACAAACCTTCTGGAAGCCAGCAAAGAAACAAAATTCACCAACTACTGTGTGTTCTACGTAACACTGAGAAATGCTGTCACCTGCACAGCTTAATGTGAACTGTTCGTGCTGCTGAGTGATCGAGTGTGAACTCCTGCTCCACATGGATCTCTGCAACATGCAATCTTAGTGAGCCCTGAATTTTTATTTACAGAGTAGAGAATTACCAAGACTTTTTACTTTTTCATCCTCAAAGTTTATTAATGTCACCTATTACTATGCTGTTTCCAAGTGAAAGATGAAAAACAGGCTCATTTATAAATATACTTTTTTTTTCCACAAGAGGAGACACCACAAACTTAGAAAGATGACTTATGTGAATGAGTGATGCATTTCTAAAATATTTATCTTACTGTTTGATAAACAGATTATGTCAGCCTTGAGAATAAAATGCCTGAATAAAACAATTTTATAAACAACCATGAGTAAAGTACTGTTACCTTGGCCAGAGAATAATATTAGTATATATTAGCATTAAAAATATCCTATATATTTGTTCTTCAACATTAAAACTGGACAAACAGCTTCATACTTATTAAAGACATGGCAACACCAACAAGCCAGTATGTGGGAAGAGGCAATTCTCCGTGAACTATTAAATGTAATGTATGAATCAAAGTCAGAAAATCCACTAAATTTCAGTTGTTTCAGTTTGATGGGTTGCACTCCGTGAGTTTAAGAGAAGAATATTCTGACTGAATTAAATGTAACCTTAAATTATACATTTGCAATGTAATAAAAAAATTTCTGCTTAGTTTCGATATGTGTAAGCACTAGCTTGGGATAACATCACTACACCTACCAGTATTTTAACAACTTTATTTTTATAGGAAGGGCTTATGAACAGCGTAATTTTTTATTTTATTTTATTTTCTATTTTTATTTTTACTTTTTTTTTTTTTTCAACTTGGAGGAGGAGGGAAGAAAGAGCAACCTAATTAGTCTTCTGCACAGTTCTCCAGCTCACTCCTTCTCAGACTTCGACTGCCTCTTCACGGCAATAACTGTATGTTTTTCCACATATGTGTTTGCACATACATGGTTTCCTTAAGCCCTCTTGAGTCCTTCTGCCTGACTCATCCACATTGGATACTTGTACAGGATACATCTTTTTAAAAGAATGCTTACATGAGACGTGGGTGAAGTGAGGCAGAATGAGAAACGTTCCTTGTTGATAGCCGGGGGTGGTGAGGAGTCAGTGGAAGAAAATATTACTCATAAGTCAACTTGGCAACTTCCCAAGCTGAACTACTGAAGGTGCATTGGAAAATGTATTTTGCTAGGCAAGAAATAAGTCTCTCAATCTAAAAATACAGCATTAAGTAGGAAGCAGGCATGTTCGTACAATAAAGATACTTCTGCTCCAGAGAGTAAATAAAGATTTTTATAAGATATGTAACACTTGCATTTTTTCAAAGCTTTCTTGAAATGACAGAGACTATTTTCTCAGTGCAGTGAGAAACTGGACCTGAAGGCATTGGCAACATCTTTGCAAAGAGGAAGGGGGAGTGAAAGAAAAAGAGCTAAATGTTTTTTTCCCAGAACAGTTTAATAACAGAAAAATCTCCTGGAAGCAAACCAGCCAGAAGTGTTTTGTTAACCGAACAGCCTTACCTACTACAGCTACAACATACACACTAAAAGTAATTTTTAGATGTCTAAGCCCTGAAGTTAAGGAGTGGTGTTTATTTCATACCACAGGGCTAAGAAATCTTGGAAATCCTTTCAAGCTGACAAGTTTGTACACAAGATTAACAGGAGGTGAAGACAAAAACGGAGAGAGAGATTTTAATCAAAACGATACCACACCAGCCAAGGTGACTGCAGGCATGTAGTACTTGGGATAGAAAACTCTGGTCCTCTGGAGAACAATCCCTCTTTAGAGGGATCTGAAATTCATGCTTGAACTACGGCACCGTTTGTTTCCTACGTACAGCAGTAGTTTAAAGAGCTGTTGCACATGAGACAGCAAAGCTTAGCTACCAGCACAAGATGGACACACCACCCAAGCCTGACTACTGCAGTTAGCTCCGCACCACAAGAGCCAGCCTGGGACTCGCCTCAACAACTCGCCTCAACAACGAACAATTGTGGGAATGTCCCATCCTGGAGGTTTCTGCCTTCAAGGATTTCCTCCATGTTGCAAGAACACAATATATGCCTCCACTCCACCCAGCGAGCGTAACTGGCCTTCTCATCTCCTCCACACGTGGAAATATCAAAACAACTCATGCGTCCAAGTCAACAACAGATGTGCTAGAATAAACACTGCAACACACATGCTGTGTGCAACCAGGGCTCTACGGTCTACCTGAAAAGCAAGGTAACAGTCAGTTATTGACTTCAATGCCCCAATCCCAAAGACATGGGAAGGAGCTACATCCAAACCCTTCAAGGGAACTAATTTTGTGGTCCCACTCTGCCTACACTCCTACATCTCATCCACAACTCCCTTGAACAAGTACAGGAAGCCACACAGTTTTCTGCGAAGGCTAAGCTTATGTGGAGAGATGCCTGAAGCTATTTTCTTATAGACCTTTGCTTACAGAAAAATAAATAGACAACTATGAGAGCACCAATGAAGCTAGAGCTTCAAGATGTAAAATGAAAGCTGAATGCACGCAATTTGTTGATCTCATGCTCTGTTCTGGACCTAACAAAATAAATATTTATGTAGGGACCACCCTTAAGCAGAACAGCTCCTAAGGAGTGGCAGTTAATGACTGTCCTGACTTCTAGCCATGCTGGCAAAAATATTTTTGTTAACCCTATGCTTTTTGAGAGAGTGGGTCTTTTGTCTCATCATGTCTCTAAGACAGGCAGCTCACTGTCTGCACGCAGATGCAGATGACAAATGACAAACATTCACATTCTGTTTGCTCCCCAGTTATCTCCGAGTGACATTATCTTGGTTTCAAGCCACAGATTCTGCCGAACTAGAACAGTTATAAAAATCGGTTGGGGAAAAATGTCATGCAACAGTCAAGCAAACTCACACAACGCAGTATTTTAAGTTCAGATTTCTCCAGAAGGGTTTAGAGGAAAAAAAAAATTACACAGATATACTCTACTTGTATGCCTACTCAGGAAATAATCCACACTTCTCATACCAGTGCAGGGCTTTGGCCACAACAGTTCTGAAGACTTTCAAAAAGAAAAAAAGCCAAGAAGAAAGATGACAATTGCTACAAGTCAAAGCTTTAGGAGTCTTCATATCCACAATCAGACTAGTCTAACCTGATCTATTGTACAAAGAATGAATACTGACTGGTATGTCAGGCCTGTCTGCAGGAAGAGAGCAGTCAGATGGTGAAAAAGAAGAGCGTAATTCCCCCATAACTGTACACAATTCACATGGCCTTGGTTACTTCAGGGTCTCAGAGAATTGCATACGATTTTGATTTTAGGGAAATGCTTTAACAAGGGATTCCACATCACCTGTACAAAATAAAAGAGAAGACACCTACAACAAGGAAAGCAGTACAGGGGTCTCTCTGCCTGCACAAGGCTGTGTCACTACAGACATGCCAACATGATCCAAGTGAAGCTCAGTCGTGTGAGCCACCTCCACAGAGCGCTGAACCTCAACCACTTTATTCCCAGCTGAGGAAGGACTCCAGTAGCATTAGTTCCACTTCTCCTGGGCTGTACTCTATTCAGAATAGACTACCTCATAAAAATAAAGTCTAAATGCTGAGTGTCTCAAGCTTGACTCAATAAAAGGTAAGTGATTCCTTGAGAAGGAGATGTCTGTGCTCTTATGGATGGTGGACTCCATCAGTGGCACAGGACAACGAGTCACTAGATCTTCACTGTTTTCCCCTTCATCTGGACCAACAGCTTTCCCCTAGAATCAACAAATCTGTACCACTGCACTTGGTATTTAAGTGTTTCGTACATTCAACACCACAGATAGCATCTTATTTTTTAGAGGTTTCGAGCCTAGAGGTGATTTGAAAAAATGCAACAGAAGAAACTTGTGCAGTGCACAATGCCCAATGTACCAGCAAGAACACTGGCATTGTCTTTGAAAAGGTAAAAGTCAAAAGCCTCTTTCTTCCTCCCATATTTAACAACTCCACAGACCATGGTTGGGCTAGGAGAAGCAGCAATTTCTTTCTTTTTTGTTTTTTTCAAAGCAATGGCAGTGCAGAAGCCAGAAAGAAGCCAGTTCAGCCTACAGTCATTGCATGGGACAGATTTGTGAATCTGGCAAGTATTTTTATTTGTAAACCAGAAAAATGTTATACAGAAGTCAATGAAATTAAGGAAACATGGAAATGCTTCATGCCACTGCTGCATCACATTTCAGACTGTGATCATACATTACAGTATGTTTGTGCTGCCTGCTTTTGTATTTCCAGTCCACAAAGAAGCAGTAAGAAATGGTTTATTTTAAAGAAGCTGCAATTGACCACACGATGCCTCCTTTTTCAATATGGAGTCAAGAAGCATGCTCAGTACACCACCAGTAAATAATTACTTGGTAGATACCAGAACTGCTTGCAATTCTGCTACACGAGGTGCTTTTGTTCTGCTGCACTCCATGCCTCTTAACTCCTGCTGTAAGAAGAGCAGCTTGGTTTCAGTCTGTTTCTTTCACTGTGCGGACAAACACACAGTGAGTCAAAAGCAGTGGCTGGATTTGAGCTCAACATCCATTGACTACCAGTTCAACTCAAAAGTTGGTTTTTTTTGGTTGGTTGGTTTTTTTTTGTGTTTTGTTTTTGTTTTTTTAAGGTAGATCTGCATGCCTTTAGAGCTTGCTCGCTACCATTAGTAGCCATAGGTCCCTCCTGATCAAAAAGCTTTTCCAAATGCACCTCAGGACTCTAAGACAAGTTAGGTCCCTATTCGTGTTAGTTCTCTCATGTGAGTTTTTAGGCATCTTTTCATCAATCATACAAATCTGATGTTATGGAGAACAACAGGCATCAACTACTGACCCTCTGCATGGGCCGGGAGAGTTAAGAAAGCGGACAGACCTCAAGTTAAGGGCTACACCTCAGACAGGTATGGGAATGTTGTAAGCATGTTTGAACTGCTGGTATTGCAGATATCTTTAAAGAGCAATTGTTGTGTACAGAAAATCTTCTAGTAAAATGTCTGTTTTAAATTGCTGCTTGTTCATAATATCACTAATAAAGAAGAAAGAGACTAAAAACTAACAGCATGACTAGTAGTGGCTTCTAACAATAACCAGTAATCACAATCCTTGACTTGAAAATGTTTCCATTAAAAAAAGAAAAATGCCCATGCACTTGTCTAAAAAATGGTTGTTAATCTGTATTTACATGTGGACACCATAATTAACTTCTTAAAAAAAACCCCACTATTTAACATTAAAAAAAAATCATCACTGGATCTTTTCAAGACACAGCTTCAGAACTCTTTCTTAAATGCTTAAAAGCAAATAAAGAAAACGCGACTCATACCTGTATCAGGCATTTACTGACGTCACTAGCACAGAGAGCCTTATTGCAGCCTGTTGACATCTGGATCCACAGCAGGAACAGAAGGAGAGCGACTGTGGGCACCGTGATGTACTGCGACCTCATGTTTCCTGCAGGTGAGCAATTTTCACAAGTTCTGCAACCAGCACTGAAATAAACACCAGCAACTGAAAAGGCTATTGGGAAAAGAGTTAAATCCTACTTTTCTTCCCCCTTGCAGTTCCTTCAAAAAAGATTCACAATTTTTTTGTGAGGAAAAAAAAAAAAAAGAAAAAGAAAAAGAAAAAGAAAAAGAAAAAGAAAAAGAAAAAGGTCAAGTTGTGGTACTTAACAACAAACCCACCTCCTTCTCCCCCAGCCAACTTGTTTATCTGAAGCTTTCTGCTCTTGCACTGCAATAAACTCAAGGTGAACAATCTTGAGTTTGCAATATCAAACATGATATCTTATAAACAGTGACAATCACACAACGCCTCAGAAGAGAAAACCCACCAATGAAGACCTAATTCTGTAAGTGCATAAAGCGGACAGACAGGTTTCATGCAGTACCTCCTCTGGCTAAGGGCACACGCAAGTGTCTAGGACCAAAGCTATATGGCAACCTTTTACGACAAGCGTAAGGTAAGCTGCTTCATCTCTTTGACGTAGACAGTTGTTTTCATACTGACCGTTAGATGTCATGTAGACTTTCAATTCAATTCAATCAGAAAGGTGTTTTTAGCTTTTTTTAGAATACAGCCATCAACATTTGAAAAAAAAAAAAAAGGTACAGGAGACTTTGAACAACGTAACTTTCAGGAGCCACACGAGTGACTGCAGTCAACAGGAGACCAAGCATCTACTACTTCAGACAGAAGAACTGGGTTTGTTCAAGGCATTCCACCTTTCTCCCTTTGTGAAAAGCCCGCATCCCGGCAGGTGGTATACATTATAAATACAGCATGTCAGTGGTGTGTCCCTGAGTTCTTACTTGTGCTTAGCATGTGAACCCAATCCAAAGAGGACCCCACTGCACCAGGCACCATACCAACATATAATAAAAGGCAGCCCATGTTTGGGCAAGCTTACAGTGAGCCTGTATTGTTCTCATAAGAAGGAAAAAATGCTAATAGGGCACTGGATTTCTTTCTTTCTGTATCTAGAAATGTCTTTTTGCTTTATGAACTGAAAAAACCCCACCCCTCAATTAGCTATATCCCAACATAGAAAAGAAGAAAAACAAGCCAACATGTAAATAAGGCAGGATGCGGACATTCGAAGCCTGTGTGGGATTAGCATTTCGTACAACGGTTGTTAAACGCTTTTGGGTCTGTGCCGGCCGCGCTGCCACCCGTCCCCTCGCAGGACCGGGGGGAGGGACCCCCCTGCGAGACCCGGCCACTGTCCCCTCGGGAAGGGGTCACTGC